CAGGCTCTGAGCTGTCAGCACACAGCCCAATGCAGGGCTCGAACTCCTGAACTGCAAGATCATAATCAGAGCAGAAGTTAGACGCTTAACTGACTGAACCACCCAGATGCCCCTATATCTGTTCTTATAGTAAGAACCAAAGTGACAGTTGCCCCTTCTGATCCATACTGAGGTTTATATTTTCCCCTGTCGATTTCTTAAATTTATTATTACCTATATTTTCCCTTTTTTAAAATAAACACATCAGTGTGTTTCAATTTTCCCTTTGATCTCCTCCAGGATCACACATTATGATGCCTCTGCAAATTAAACAGAATATAATGTGAATGTGTCCGCTGGACTTGAGCAATCATGTTGACATTTTTGAGATATTTTATTCTGGGTAGTTTGGGATGTATTTTATCTTTCTTTCCAGCTTAAAGAAAATCCCTATCCTAAAGTTGACCCATGTATCTATCTGATCACCTTTGACTCCCAACTGCCTTGAAATTCTCCCAACCGCCCTTTTTATTTGAATGCTTCCTCAAAATGCAATAATAATAATTATTATTGTTATTAAGTGTATTTATTTATTTTGAGAGAAGGGGAGAGAGAGAGAAAGAGGAAGCATGAGCAGGGGAGGGGCAGAGAGAGAGGGAGGGAGAGAATCCCAAGCAGGCTCTGCTCTGTCAGCGTGGAGCCTGAAGTGGGACTCGAACCCACAAACTGTGAGATCATGACCTGGGCTGAAATCAAGTGTTGGACACTTAACCAACTGAGCCACCCACTCACCCCTCAAAGAGCAATTTTATTGTGAGGCCTTGTATGTCTGAGGACACTTTTGCAATGCTGCAATATTTAAACGATAGTTGGCTGGATTTAAAATGATAGGTTCAATGTTCTTGTCTTTGCTACTTTAAAAACATTTCTTCATTGTTTATTTTCATCTAGTTTTAATGTTAAGAAGTATAGTGTTTATATGATTCTTGTTAATATACTCTTTTTCTCCACAGGATTTTAGAGTTTCCTCTTTGTATGAGCTGTTTTTAAACTTCATAATAATGTATCCAGGTGTTAGTGTTTCCTTACCCCTATAGTTTGACTGTCCACCACTCTTTCAACATTAGATCTTTCTTATATATATAAGATATATATAAGATATATATATATATATATATATATTTTAATTTTAGGGATTTGTCTTCGTCATATTTGAGTCAAGGACAAGACATGAATTACCACTATCACCATTGCTGTTATCATGGTACTCTCTAACGCTATAAAAAAAGCAATAAGAAGTGTAAGGATTGGAAGGGAAAAGAGGAAACTGCTATAGTTAACAGAAGTGATGATCATCTATGAGAAAGACCATGATAATCAATAGATAAGCTGTTAGAACCAGTGAGAGAGTTTGGCAAGATGTGAGATAAACTCACAAGTATTATTAGAATTTTTTGGTAACATCAACAGCCAACTCAAAAATACAATAAAAAGTAAGACATTGTTCACAATGTCAACAGGAACTAGGAAGCAAATAAGAATTACCTTAGCTCAGAATACACCAGACTTCTATGGAGACAATTTTTAAAGTCGAATAATAAAGAACATGGAATATGATCTCAATAGATGGGGAGCTATCCCATGCTTGGTGGGGCCAAATTAATTTTATAATGATATCAGTCCTCCTTAAAGCAAGCTATAAAATTCAATGAAAATTCAATAAAAAATCCAGTTGCATTTTTTTTTGGAGAAGCTTGAAAAACTGATTCTAAAGTTTTAAGGTGTACTATAATAAATAACAGAGAAAACTTTCAAGTATTAGTACAAGAACAGACAAGGAGACTAATGAAATACAATAGGATTCAAAGACAGGCCCATGTATATAAATTAGGTATTCCTATTCAATAAAAGGACACCACGAGTGTCCTTAACAGACGCCAGATTAGGAGAAGAAATCTATATTGAGTAAATAGAATTTTACGTGTAGAATACAAAGTGCTCCTAATCAACAGGAAAATGACAGCAACCCCACTAGAAACATTAGCAAAACAACAAACAGTCATTTTAGAGAAGAAGAAATCCGGAAGGTTAACAGGCATATGAAGAGATGCTCAAATGCATTAGTGTTAGTAATGTAAAACAAAAGCATAATGAACCATCGCTACAACTATCAGGTTGGCAAAAATTGGAAAGCTGGCTGGTACCAAGTTTACCGGTGAAATGGAAACACATGAAGCCTTGTGAACTGCTGGTGGGAGTCCTGGAGAACAATCTGGTTGTATCTGGTCCACTTAAATATACGCATATTCTCTGACGTAGTAATTCTACCTCTGGGCATATAACCCATAAAAGGACGTTTCTCTGTAAAAAGGTGCATCAAAATATTCACTGATGCTTTGATTGTGGGGGGAGAACTTGGAGACAATTAGGCTGTTTGCATTCCATGGGCTCCTTTCAAGACATTCGAAGAGATGGAGGGAATGTCTACATAGCAGTGTGGTTGGATACAACATAGTGCTGCGTTACAAACTAAGGAACATGGTGAGCGCTATAATATGGTACCACTTACATGAATTAAAAATGTATGCATGCCAAACAGTATACATTTTGTAAGAACAGGTACAAATATCTACAAATAAAAGGGTTGACATCAACCAGATGAAAATAGCTGCTTTGACTGGTATGTGATCGAGGTGAGTGGGGACAAGAAAAAGAATAGGCATGGAAGACATGGGTGGGGAATGAATGAATGAAAGAATGAGTGAATGAATAAAGAAGAGAGGGACCTTTCATGGACCCATGATGATAAGATGCCATGGCTGAAAAGGATGATGAAGGCCCAAGTGGAAAGGGAAAAACAAGGGCTAGTCTAGATGATGGCACATGGAGAACTTAGTAAATACTTGTTCACTTGAAGGAAGGAATGAAGTCTGTGGTAAATCCTGTTTTGCAAAGCTAAGAATTCTTTTGCAGTATGGATCAGGGCTATTTACTGAATTATTTTAGGAGTTTTAATTTCAATATAGACGAGTTTTAAAAAATATGAGCACACCCAAATTTGACACATCTGGAGACGTTAAGAGAATTTATTCTTTTCCTCGACTTCTTGAAGCGTCATAATGGAACTTCCTTCTGCTCATTTGAACAATGCCGTGAAGTTTGACTTTGGATTCTCAAGCACAGAAATATTTCCCAGCAAATATTTGACATTTTGATCAAGTTTTGGTTCCCTTATATGTGGTCATTGATATCCAGAGTCTTTGCTGGAAGCACCGAGCTGGAATCTGCTTCTTGATCTTCAAGGTTATCGCAAGTTACTGGGCTTACAGCCGGGGATGATAGTGGGCTAACCTACTAACGTCCTTTTTTATCTGCTACTGTATAAGATCTGACTTGTCAGAGCATTCTAGATTTGTGTTCTCCCTCCTGTCTTTCCAGAGGATAGAGCAATCATCCCCGGGCTTCCATCAACCTGTTCTAGGTTTTAAACATGGCTGACATTTGGCTTTCACTGATTTCAACTTAACGAATATCTGTCAGTGTGATTAATTAAAGCTCTGGCTCTAGTAAAATGAACTTGAGTATGACGGCCAGCCTATCACCTAATCCCCCTGTGACTCTGGGCAAATTAAATGTCCTGAGCATTTGTTTCTCTGAGCAATATAGATAGTAGTTTCCTCAGAGTTGTGGTAACTCGATTAGATGATGTAGTTCAGGCTTACCACAGAGCTGGTGCCTCGTCAGTAGCCGTTATTATGATTTCTTCAGGGAAATCATCATGCTAGGCCTGTGAGGAGAGACCAAGATACATACGAAAAAGTTCTTAATTTCGTGGAACTTGGAGAAAGAGGACAAAACTCAGAACGATGTGAGACACGACAAGTGAGGTCACATATCCTCCTAAGAGCACTGGAAGACATTCAGAGAACTGCTTCTTCATTTTTTAAACAAGGAAACTGAGACTCAGTGTTATGTGACTTGGTGACGAGAACATTGCCAGTGAGTGGCACAGCCTCCCTAGGAACCCACCTCTCCCATGACTGAGCCGGGCCAGGTGGATGTGCCTCTGTTTCCAGTGGACAGAGATGTGTCAGATGGCTCTGGGGCAGTGTAGGGGGCAAGGCCCCAGACATGCCCCAGGGGACCTTCGTCAGCAGGTCTTAATCCCAAATGACAGGTGACTGGGGCCCGAGCACTCAGAGTCAGATACAGAGTGGCGGAAGGCTTCCAGACTGGGAGGGAGTCTGCGGCCTGATACCCGTAGGCTGTCAGGTGGCGGGCCCTGAGACTTTTCCTTTGAGAAGCTTCATGCTAACAGGTGGGTGGCCACTAGGAAAGAGGCCCTGCTTATATTGTACCTGCGTGTCCCCTTTCAGTTACCAGCCCTGGCTAAACAGCATGGGTGTCCTCTCCTCCCTTCCCTGAGCGAATTGGCCTTTCTCTCCATGGGCAGACGGACCCCTGGAACCAGTCTCCCATATTTAAGCATGATTAGGCCTCGCCATTTTGGTCATGGCTGGGGGGCAAGGGAGGGGCTGTTGTGTTTCAAAATGGAATAAACAGAACAGCAGTATTAAAAGAATGAGGAGGTTGTTTAGTGAGGCTTGAAGAGACTACAGGTGTTTCCTCCTGTGTTGAGAACCAGTGGCCCCTGGGAATTGCATTTCCCCTTGAGCAGGGCCCATGGCGGACCGAGTCCTGCTAACACGCCTGTGGTGTAGAAGCCTGGATGGGTACCATAGAAAACTCAGAATTTTCCAGGGGTCTTTGGGGCTCCTCGTGGGCGTGGAGAGGTCCAGGATTGACACACTTGCTCCCGCAGTTCGCACGCGCAGGCATTTCCACACTCGCCAGGCATCACACCACACTCTGATGACTCCGGCCATCGGGTTGCGGCCTTCTGCGCTGTGTTGTTGTTCGGATCCAGCTGGCTGGCTCTGCGAGTCTGTGGCCGGTGGGCCTCCGGGGGAGCACACAGTGGGGTGACAGGCAGCCCTGCTGCAGAAAAAGCGCCCGGTACCTGAGGTGGGAGGATGTGATGACGCTGTGCTCCCGCGCAGCGGGGACTCGGGCCTTTAAAAAGCTGAGGAAACAGCCTGTGAGCAGGCGGTGGCTACACTGGAGGAGAGCACACCCAGGTCTCGCAGTAAAGCAGCCAAACTGTCTGCTTCAAAGAGAAAAGGCAACATCCTGTCACAGGCCATGCTCTGGCAGAAACGTAAGTGGTTTGACCGTGCCTGTCAGAGCCGTGGGCAGGGGCGGGGGGCTCACCGGCGAGCCCACCCGGGGACCAGGGGTGGGGGAGAGGATGTGGGGAGCCGGGTCCCCAGCCAGGGGAGCGCAGGGGCCAGGTGGGCGACGCAGCCCCGCGGAGAAAGCGGCCCGTCAGAGGTGATGCTGATTTTCCAAGGCTGGAGGGGAACGAACGAGTGTGTTCCAAGGTGGGACAGCTCATCGCGTCGCCACTGCGAGGCATGAATCACCCTGGTGAGGAAAGGGCAGTTCATGATTCACACAGCAGAAAAGCCAACTGTGACCTTGGTTTGGGGCCGAGAGGGGAAAGCCATGGGGTCCTTCACATGACTGGCTTTAGTTTTCATCTGCGGGTGCTCTGTGGCCCGGGGTTCAAGGTCTCGGGCCTGTTGCTGGCTGAGTGACTTAGGTTTGGGCCGGAGGCGTCATTTGTTTGCGTGCGCGCTGGGACAATGTGGAAACTTGGCTTGGGTCCGGTCTGCCTCCCTGGCTCCGCTGTCCTGCCTATTGTCACTCTTCTCGGTGCTCGGTGGTGAGGCCGTGTGTCCCAGAGCAAGGGGGCAGCGGGTGTATCTTTAAACCTTAACGTTTATCCCTGGGGTGGGATGGAACAACTGTGAACTTTACTTTCCATTTGTGGGATCAAACAGAGACTCCTGTTATTAATAATTGAAATCATACAGAGATTATCTATGACATTCCTTTCTTGAAAAAACAAAGTCAACTCAACAGCCTCATGAGACTTGAACCTTACTGGGGTTTAGTTCTGTGCTACCTCAAGAGACCAATATTACCAAAAAAAAAAAAAAAAAAAAAAAATCACTCTGTCTTATCAAAGGTGATCAGTTCTTTACAGTGTCTTTTAACAAATTCATGTACAGCCTACTTCAAGCACACCTCATAGAAGAGAATCTAGATTTACAGAAGATAAATTGGGGAGTCTTTATTTTACAGAAAGATATTCTCTTGGAAGTCTTAAAGTTCTGAAAATATACCACCATCGATTAAAATGGAATTTATAGTCCTCTATCGCCAACTCGCTGTTTCCTTTACTACTTGTGTAAATTCTCTGGAATTGAACATGTTAATGGATAATTCAGAGGAGAGATTTCAAAATTTCTCAGGTTGTGAGGTCTCGTTGTTGTTTGATGCTGGCAAGATGCAATTTTTTTTTTAAATAAAAAGAGATGAACTTCAATTTGGGCTGGAGAGCTGTGGAATCCTTCCAAGATAATTAGAGATATGCTAATATGGGTGGTGTGCACAGTTACATGAAGCAAGACCCTGACCTGCAGAGGTAATAGCAGCTGGCCCCACAGGAGGAACATCCAGCCAAGGGTAGGCATTACTGTCTTTACTGGAAGTGCTGAGTGTCTGTACGCCCCTCACGCTTCGAGCTGAATTGGTGAACTTTATATGAGCCCTTGGGGGGACTTCTGCCTTGGTTCCTACCTATTCAGAGTAAGTCATTTTCCTTCTTTTTTTTTTTTTTAATTTGTAGGCTTCTCATATGTAAAATGAGGTAAAAACACTATCTATTCCTCAGAGCTACCCTTACCGTGGTAAGCTGACATGCTACCATATTGTTGATTGCTCTGGTTTTGCTTCAGTGTCTGAGACACAGGTTGCTTTCCTGCATTCACGAGCCGCCGTATTCCCCTCTCTTGATTATGCACTACATTTTTCCTTCTTTAATTCCCCTTGAGAGATTAGCAGCCGTTTTTTGGTTTTTGGTTTTTGTCTGTGTGTGTGTGTTTTTTTTTTTCTTAAGGGGATACTGGAGGCATGTTTCTTGCTGACACCCTGGATGTCAGTCAGATCCAGCAAATCCGCATCCTTAGGGAGACCGTACTACAAACTCGTCAGCGGAATAACTGGGGTGATGGTCCTACCTGTTCGGATGCATACAATCCAAATTCTCTTTAATTGTCCTTTGGCACCTTAAAGGGAATTAAGAAAGGCCCTTGGCACTGGACCCCTTACCCCGGATCCAAGTAACACCCTTATCCAGGAAACTGAGGGGACCTAGGTGACTGGGTTCTGTGGGGAAACCAGTAAAAACAGGGCAGCATTGTCAGCCCACTTCGAATCACCTGATGGAAGGGCAGAGTTTGAAATCAGGCACCAAGAGTGCTGAAAAGGCACTTTCTTTTTTCAGAAAACACCCTCGGGCCATGATCTGAAATGACTGTGCTATGGGGTTCTGGAAAGGGTTAAGAAAACATCCACTCTGTAAATGTTGTCTCCTCCCTACCTGGCCCATGATCCCTGTTTGTGAACACAGACTCTGGTTCAGATCAGCTCAGAGCTGTTGGCACACAGAAGTGGAGATCTTCGAGCCCCATCCATGGATCTGAGCTTTGCTTGACCTGCCAGTTAGATAAAGAAGTCACGCCATGTGCAGCTTCTCCTTCTGGGCTCTGCACTTCAACCTTCAGGTCCCGAGTGGATGTGAATTCACATCCACTCCAGCGAGAGGTCCTTGTTAAGGCCGACTGGTCACAGTGCAGTAGAAACAGCAGAAGCGAAGGTGAGGCAGGTCTGGGTTTGAAAGTTGGCTCGGCAGCTTAATTATTCAGCCTTCTCAGATTCTTACAAATCTGGAAAATGGGAATTTTGATGTCTGCCTTACAAGGCTTCTGTCGGAGCTAAAGTAGGGAATGTAGGTAGTGTTATCACGTCTTCTGAGAGTGGTGAGAGAGCACTTGCTGTCCTCTGGCATCTCCTGTGTGTCCATCCGGAGGGATCAGGGTTACATTAAATTCCTTCCTGTCTCTCCTTTTCCACACTTTGATTAGAATAGTTAAAGAGACATCATCAAAATATTCTTGTGTGATGGCATCTTTCAAACAATTTCCCATGGCCAGGGGTCTGCAAACCATAGCCTGAGTGCCAAATGGGTCCCACCACCTGTTTGTGCAAATAAAATTGTATCAGAACATAGCCATATCTATCCATGTATCGTTGGGCTGCTTTTGTTACAACGGAAGAGCTGAGTAGGTATCCGAGACACTATAGGACCTACAAAGCCTAAAATGTGTACTATCTGGTCCTTTACAGAAAATAGTTTGCCGACCTCTGAACTAAAATGATTTGGTTCATACTTTAGATACCCATTTCCTTAGGTTTCTCTGCCTCCTGGGGTCACACAATGCCAGCACCAGTGGGAGATAAAATTGGCAGTCAATTGATTAAATGATTTGCATAATGTTGAAATTTGATTTGATTGATTTCTTCCTTAAAAGCTATGGAACCATGTATAATAAACTCAACACCATTTGTTACAAAATGAATGAGTCACATAACAGCTTTTTATTGTTGTTCTTTGCGTAAGGGAAGATTTACATGATAATGAAAGGCAGGCTGCCCAATTTTCTTTGAACTGGCGAGTTGTCCTGATGCCCTATAGACATGGCCTGGCTGTTCTGGATGTTTCTTTGCTGGGGTGCCCAGGGAGGCACCTTGCGAACAGGAAATAGTTATTATTAAGTTATTATGGCATGAATGTGCCTTTGCTTTCCAACAACTTCAACAGAGCAGAGGTTCACAAATAGATCATTAGGACCTCTAAATTCTCACGAACGTAGAACTCTGGATTTTATTCCAGAGTTCCACTAAATAGCCAATTTAAAACATTTCTTTAACATTTATTTATTTTTGAGAGACAGAGAAACCGAGTGTGAGCAGGGCTGGGGCAGAGAGAGAAGGAGATACAGAATTCGAAGCAGGCTTCAGGCACTGAGCTGTCAGCACAGGACCCGATGTGGGGCTCAAACCCACAAACCATGAGATCATGACCTGAGCTGAAGTGAGATGCTTAAGCAACGGAGCCACCCAGGTGCCCCTGTAACCAATTTTTTTAAATGTTTACTTTTGAGAGAGAGACAGAGACAGAGACAGAGACCGAGAATCCGAAGTAGGCTCCAGGCTCTGAGTTGTCAGCACAGAGCCTGACAGAGGGCTCAGATTTATAAGCCCTGAGATCATGACCTGAACCAAAGTTGGACGTTCAACTGACTGAGCCATTCAGGTACCCCTAAATAGCCAATTTTTAAAGGGAAGTGAAAATTCAGTAAAACAAGGAAAACCTATAGTAACCATCTAATATTGGAACTTCTCTCTTGCAGGAACTCAGTCAAACTTATAACAAGAAGTAATTTAGGGCTGTGGAGTACCATTAACATTTCTATTGTGTGTTACAACCTTCGCCCACTTAGTAAGCACCTTTACTTCTTACCAAGTTTTTGTTATTGATTCAGTGGTTCTTGTTGATAAGGAAAAGTAGAGTCTAAAAGACAGACACAAAGTCACATGCACAGACGGAAGTAAAGTAAGTGACAAACATCTACCAAGCACACAGGTTAATTGGTAAGAAAGCAATAATTTTCAGGGTGGACACTTTCATTCCTTCTCCCTGTATTTACTAAAGTAAAATGCCAACTTTGTTTTTCTCTATACCCAGAAAGTTGCCAAGTCAGAGGTTTGGAAATCTCTCTTCCAGTTCAAGTCTGCAAATCTGTTCTGTTGTGAGGAACAAAAAGAACCAAGACTGACTAGCTTATTAGCTAACTAACTGGACATTTAATCAGCTTAGAAGTTCTGTGAATTTTTGCTTTTAAACCTTCCCTTTACAAAATAAAGGTATTAGGTTTTTCCTCCCTCTGACTTCTTTCTGAAGAAGTTTATTTTTCCTATCAATGAAGAAGTCTACCAATTCCTAACTTTGAGCCAGCCAAGCCACAGTTGGCTAATCGATCAAAGTTATTAACGTAAGTTTCAAGTTTATGAAATCCTTGGCAACATCCTAGCTTAAACATTTTTTTAAATGTTTTATTTTTTTTGAGAGAGAAATAGAGACAGTGTGAACAGGGGAGGGTCAGAGAGAGAGGGAGACACAGAATCCGAAACAGGCTCCAGGCACTGAGCACAGTGCCTCATGCGGGGCTTGAACCCACAACCGTGAGA